TATATAATTTTAATGAGTTACTTGTATTAATCTATGGACATTAATCTAGTTATTGTAAAAAATCATTTTTGAATGCTGTAGCAAACGGGAGGCCTGAGATCAAAGCGCTGTATTGGGAGTCATTGTCATTCTGGTATGTTTAAATCAATCAAATCTCATCAAAACTGTGGCATGTTTAAATGTGTTTATCTGCTTTTCTTGGACTGAAAGCCACAAACAGTGATACAACAGTTATGCAAGGTCCCTCCCTCCCTGGTATATCAATAATAGGTTGAAATAATTCACAAAAGTCTCATGGTAACATGAAATACTTAAGCATTGTGAAACATTTTGTATTTAATCCAGAATATTCCTTTCAACTGCCAGGGCCTCAGTGTGAAAGAAGAGCAGAAAGCTCTGCTCTGGGTCATCAGAAGAGCCAGAACAGATAATGAACATTACAAGGCAATCTTTACCCAAGAGCATCAGCTCTGGACTCACAGACACTGACCTGACAGTGCTGAGGGCATCACACTAAAACACCAAGACCCCTGGATCACGACTGTAATCTGTGATAGACACTAGATCCTCCCAGACCTACCTGCAGTTTAGAGGAGGATCGAGGGTCATCTCAGAACAAGAGAGATTTCACTCATTAAATTCACCCGCGCTGCCTTGCTGCTCAACCTGAGCATCTCCTGTGCTGCATATACTAGTGGACACCATCAATTCCTTTAAGATCTCACACACTCTGAAGAGGACTACAGAAATAATACAAACGGTCAGAATAACACTGTGGGCAAGCGTTTATCATCTTATGAACATGAGTGTGGAAGATTACAGCCCTCAGTCCTGCATGCTCGCTGGATGCATATCGCTGACCGCAGGAACTTCGATTATATGAAAAGCAGAACTTACACTTGTAGCCGCTAATCGTATTTGATAAAACATGTCTCTGTAGAGCAGTGAGACTCAGGGGTGTCAAAGAGCAATTATTTGAGGTTAAAAAAGATCTCTATTTATTACTGTATATACATATGATACATTCATAATTTTGTATTTCTATCTAGAAACACAGCAGATAAAGTATCTAGTAGGAGGTTGAAGTTTGGTTGGTTAGCAGGTGATGCTTTAACTACTCAGTAGCATCTTTCTTTTTAACAGACATTTATTTTGCAATACATTCATGTCATTGATCGTTTTAATTTATTTATTTGGCAATGGTAAAATTTTCAGCATCCATTCTACAATCTTTAGTGTCATATGATACTTCAAAAATCGTTTGCCACTCAAGAAACATTTATTTTTATTAGCAGTGCTGAAAACAGTTTTTGCTGCATACTATTTTTGTGGCAACCTTGATACATTACCGTTCAACAATCTGGGGTAAAAAAAAAAGACAAGACAAGACAAGACAAGAAATTAATTTAAAAAATAATTTTATTCAGCAAGGATGCACTAAATTGATCCAAAGTGAAGGTAAAAGCATTTCTAAATTTACAAAAGATATCTGTTTAAAATAAATGCTGTTTTGAACTTTCTATTCCTCAAAGAATCCTGAAAATAGTGTCACAGTTTTCACTAAAATATTAAGCAGCAAACACAAAAATCACACACACACACACAGAGATACAGACACACACACACACACACACACAGATACAGACACACACACACACAGACACACACACACACACACAGAGATACAGACACACACACACAGACACACACACACACACACACACACAGACACACACACACACAC